CTGGGTCACAGGAACTGTTGTTTACCTTTACCCAGATTCCCCAAACATGAACATTTCACCACATTTCTTTGTTATTCTCTCACTCAAGTTCTCTCCCTCTCTCTCAAGATACACACGCGCACACACACACACACACACACTTTTTTTTCTGAAATGTTTGAGAATTGTAGTAAATTGGTGCCCATCATCATGCACATGGCCCTTTATCCCTAAATACTTCAGTGTGTGTTTCCTAAAATCAAAGACACTCTTACATAACTACAGTACTATTCTCAAAGTCAGAAAATTAACTTCAATACTATTATCCAATCTATAGAATTTATTCAAACTTTGCCAATTTTCCTATCTTTTTTTTCTCTCCCTCTTCAATTGTCCTGTCTTTTACAGTAAAAGAAAACCTTATGTCACATGTTGCATTCAATTGTTTTGTCTTCCTGAGTTCATGCCTTTCATGCTATTGACATTGTTTAAGATAACAGGCTAGGTAATTTGTAGATTGCCCCTCAGTTTGGGTTTACCTGATATTTTTTCATAATTAGATTCAGATTATGCATTTTTGGTGGGAATATTGCAGAAGTGATGCTGTGCTTTCTTCTTGGTGCACCACATCAGGAGGCACATGTTGTTGATTTATCCTATTACCAGTCATGTTAACTTTGATCACTTGGTTAAGGTAGAGTCTACCAGGTTTCCCCGCTGTGCAAGTACTGTTTTTCTCTTTGTAATGAATAAGTATCTTTTTATATAAATACCTAATTACTCATCTTTTACCCCTTCTAGTTGTAGCATCCATTGATGATCCTTACCTGAATCAGTTAGTTCTGACTGTCAAATTATTTTGTAATTCTTCCTTCTACTTTTATTAAGGAAGAGCTTTTCCTTATCTCTCATTATTTAATATTTTATTAAATGGATTGTAATTCATTATCTTATTGAATTGTAATTTAATGCTCAATTGCCTTGGATTTTTCAGGGTATTCCCCTAAACTGGGTTTTAATTCAAGCTGTGATATAGGGCAAGTATCCCTCCTGTCTTTGGCCTTGCTTTCCTCATTTGTAGGATAAGGTTAAGTATCCTGGGTTACCAGGGTGATTGAATGAAATGCACCAGGGTCCCAAATCTCCTCACCCAGGATGGGGTGATGTCAGGCCTGGCTCAGTCCCGAGTGTACCAGTATTTTATAGTGTTTTTTGCCCTTCTTCTCTAGGTATCCAGGGTATTGTGGATGCCTACCGTCAAGCCCTGCCCCAAGTTCGCCTCTATGGCCCCACCAATTTTGCACCCATCATCAACCATGTAGCCAGGTTTGCAGCTCAGGCTGCACATCAGAGGACTGCCTCGGTGAGGATTGTGGGAGTTAGTGGTGGTGGTGGGATGGTCTCAGTCAGTGGCTCCTTTGAGGGCTCTTGTCAGTGTGGGAATGTGTGGCTGGGGTGTTTAAAAGGTCTGACTCAGTATATGAATCCGCTTGTCCCCAGCAATACTTCGTGCTGTTGCTGCTAACTGATGGTGCTGTGACTGATGTGGAGGCCACACGTGAGGCTGTAGTTCGTGCCTCTCACCTGCCCATGTCAGTGATCATTGTGGGTGTGGGTGGTGCTGACTTCGAGGCCATGGAGCAGCTGGATGCTGATGGTGGACCCCTGCGTACACGTTCCGGGGAGGGAGCTGCCCGTGACATAGTGCAGTTTGTGCCTTACCGCCGCTTTCAGAATGTGAGTGGGGTCAAGCTTGGGGACAGACCAGATCTGGGAGTTTACCCTTCTACCTTTCCCTGATGTAAGAGGTTAGAGATACCCTTTCATCTAAGTCTGGGGCAGGGTTGGGTGTTGGGTTTTATATCCCTTCATGGGTATAATATGTAGGCCTTGGGAAGCTGTTATGGGCCCCCACTGACCTTGCCCCTCTTCTCTGGGCAGGCTCCTCGGGAGGCATTGGCACAGACTGTGCTTGCAGAAGTACCTGGACAACTGGTCTCCTACTTCAAGGCCCAAGGTTGGGCCCCCTGCAAGCCGCTTCCACTCCCAGCCAAGGATCCTGCACAGGCCCCTCAGCCCTAGATTCTCCTGGAGGGTAGGTTGTGGCTGGTCCTCAGCCCTGTGTCCCCAAGGTCCATATGCACCAGCGCCCACCCCTGCACACACTCCTCAGTGCTAGCACTTTATATTTTATACTTTTATATTTGCTCCTGCTATTGCTGCTCCTGATTGTACCTTTTTGCCCCTGGAGCCCCTCATTCAATAAAGATCAATGATGACCACTGCTTTGTCAACCACTCTGTGTGTTTTTGGGTGGGAATCTGCTATTAGCCATGTTTGCTTCTCTCTGAGCCTATTGTTGACTTTAGGGATTGAATAAAGGATGCCTCTTACATAATAGCCTCACTCAAAGAAATAGGGTATTTCTACCCAGATATCTAGGGACACTGACTCTATTTTTGAAAATACAAAGATTGAATGTAAACCAAATACCCAGCTTGGCCTGCCTCAGAGCAGAACTGAGCTGGGAACGCAGGACAAGGTGGAAAGTATTAGGGGAGGGATGGGCTTTAAGATGGAGCAAGGGCTATGCTAGATCTCCTGGGGAAGGAGCAGTGGAGTTCTCGTCCTAAAATAGGCCACAAGCCTGAATTGTTTAACAGCATTTACAGGGGCATTTCTGAAGGATTTGTTCCTTGAAATGGAAATGTTAAGTCAGTATATTTAAATATTTAATATCGTGCCCAGCCAGTATGGCTCAGCAGTTGAGCATCGACCCAGGAACCAAGAGGCCACAGGTCAGGGCACATGCCTGGATTGTGGGCTTAATTCCCTGTGGAGGGCATGCAGGAGACAGCCATCCATGATGTTTCTCTCTCATCAATGTTTCTATCTCTGTCTATCCCTCTCCCTTCTCTCTAAAATACCAATAAAAACATTTCTTTAAATTTTTAATATTGTAAATTGCCCTCGATAGCAAGGGTTTTACCCCTTCTGTTATTTGAAAGGCAATAATAATAATATAAAATAATTTAGTTAGGAAGGTTAGTTATTTCATATGTTTTTGTGAGTTTTATTTTTTTAAAATGCATTGATTTTAGAGAGGAAGAGAAACAGAAACATCAATTTGTACCTTGGCGTATGAATTTTATTTCTTATGGATAGCCTATTTATAGGTTTGTACTTTTAGTCTTTTAATATATTTTTATTGATTTTTTTAGAGAGGGGGGAGAGAAAAACATCAATGAGAGAGAACCATCAATCCGTTGCTTCTGCATGCCCCCTATTGGGATCGAGCCTGCAATCTTGGCATGTGCCCTGACCAGCAACCTCTTGGTGCACTGGACCACACTCAACCAACTAAGCCACGTATTTATAGGTTTTTATAGCCTTTATTCTATCATTATTCAGTTCTTTCTTTACATGTTGAAAATATTTCTTCCCAGGACACTCTTTGTTTACTGTATAGTATCTTTTGGTTTATAGAACTCTTTTCATATGGAAGTTAAAATTTTTTTATGTATGCCAGTCTAGTTTGCTTTTTTTTTTTTTTAAATCCTTATCCAAGGATATGCATGATTTATTTATTTTAGGGGAGGAGGAAAGGAGGGAGGGAGAGAAAGAAACATTGATGTGAGAGAAATATCGCTTGATTGCCTCCCACCTTCACCCTGACCAGGGATCGAACCTGCAACCTTTTGGTGATTGGGATGATGGCCAGGGCAGTCTAGCTTGCTTTTAAAGAAATTAGTCATATATCATTAATCACTTTCTATAACATTACCTTATATTACCATTTCTATTGGCTACATATAATTTTTGTAACATGATTTATCTTCTTAGATGCTATTTTGAGTTTTTTTCTTTATAAACCGTGTGATTAATATTTTTTAAAGTATTTTCTTTGGCCCTGGCTAATGTGACTCAATAATTGGTTGGGCATTGTCCTGTTCTCTGAGAGGTTGCTGGTTCTCTATTTCTGGTCAGGGCACATGCCCAAGTTGTGGGTTTGGTCCCGGTCAGGGTGCATACAGGAGGCAACTGATGTTTCTCTCTCATATTGATGTTTCTCTTTCTCCCCTCCCTCTCTATAAACCAATAAAAATATTTTTAAAGTATTTTTGATTACATCTGTATATCCTTTGGATCTATAAAGATGGAATTGCAGTGATTAAGAGTATACAAATTTTAAGGCTTTTGGTTCCTATTGTGAAACTGCCCTCCAGAAAAGCTGTATGAGAGTTCATATTTCTAATTTTAGGCTTGAGGCCATTTGAGAGAAACTTTTTCCTTTGTCTTCAAATTACAAAATACCCCCCAAATTAACAGATGGATATGTGCTCCAGTCCACTTCCTAGAGGGTTACCATTGTTAATAGTGCGTATATTCTTCCAAAACATGAACACACGAGGAAGGATTTTAACAGCCAAGATGCTGTCCCCTTTGATGACTATCCCCATCCTTTATTCCTCTAATTCTTTTCTAATGAAGAATTCTTGGATCAGTAAATGAATTGCCGTTTCTGGAGCATCCTCTCTTTCCTACCAGGCTTCTTGAGGGCAGAGACTGGTGAACACTAGACCATCTGTACTGAGCCTAGTATTGAGTTGGGCACTGAGGTCTCAGTGAAGATAACCTGAGTAGGGGCTACGAGGCCTGCATCAACTCTGACTTAGATGCTTCCTAGAAGTCCTTAAGCCTCAGTTTTTGAGTGTTTACCTGAGGAAAGGAAGCTTTCCCAGAGGGTGAGAGTGGGAACAGGTTCACAGCATGGCTTCAGGCTGACTGGCAGCTCTGCAGTAAAAGGGTGGCCTCTGGAGGAAGGTGGGCTTGGGTGCCTCTGTGATGCTGTTCCTCCCTAGGTATATGACCTTGAGTGGTCTTCCCCTCTGTGGTTGTGAGGATTAGTTAGATAATGTTTGTAATGTCCAAAGTACCATCTCTTTTACATGGAAACATCCATAAATATGCACTGCTACTACTATATTGACCTGGACTTCTCCAAGAAAAGAGAGACTGCATTGGGAGGTAGACCCCCTATCATATTTATATACCAAAGGCAACCAGAGCTCCCAACAGACTCTCCAGCACTGATCCAGCTCCAGCTTCTTTCAGCACAGACCTCCACTCTATTTTAACAATCAGCATGTTTAATTGGGCCCCCCTGTGGCACTGTCCCCTGCTTCCTCCGTGGTTCTCATGCCATGGGCTCGGACTCGATACAAGCATGTGAAATGGGGGTGACCCCAGTTGCTTAGAATCTGTATCTTCACCTTGGGAAAGGCAGTTGGGGGGTCATTCTGGGAAGACAAATGGATTGTGCCAAGGACTGCCTTCCTCCCCAATCTTCCCTCCCTGTTCCACTCCCTTGGCACCCTCATCCTCAGAGACAAACACACCTGTAGGTGGAAAGTCTGAATCTCAGATTTCTCCATGTCGAAGGTGAATTTCCCCAGGAAAACTTCCGTCTCATCATCAACCTGGAGGCCCTGGTAGATGAAGAGTGAATGAAGGAACAGTGAGGCACAGGTGGAGAAAGCAACTGGAGGACCTACTATGTGTGTGTTAGTAGCTGTATGCAGTCTCTTACTTATGTTTTGGTGTTGGGACAGTGTAGCGTGGAATGTGGGCTCAGAGAAACCCGGCTGCAATTTGTAGTCTGGCCAATTAACTGTGTGACCTTGGGCAAGTAAGGTCCCCTTTCTAAGCATTACTTTTCTCATCTGTACAAGGAACATAAGTTGTGTAAATGCAAGGAGATAAAGCAGAGTTAGCGCTCATTAAACCACAATGAGTATTTGGATATGGTTGTAATGACTTATAACCTATGGCAGCCCTGACAGGCAAATGGTATCTCCAGTTTATAGATGCAGTTTATAGATGCACAAGTGAAGACGCGTTGGCACCAGTTTTCATGAGTGCCTGGTGCTTTCTAAGCAAAATCCCCCACCTCCTTGGCCTCAGTCCCACTCACATAGACTGCGAAATCGCGGGGGGCGCTGTTGGCCCCCCCGGTGTGTGCCACACTGGGAGGAGGATGCTGCAGGGTAATGTCGCTCAGCTGCACACGACCCGGCAGCCGGATCACCACCTGGCCCTGGTCGCCCTCAAAAGCCCAGCAATTCCCAGGGAACACATCTGGCTGCAATCGGACAGGACAGTCAGTCGATCAGAATCCGAAGACCGAGCGACTTTGCCCTTCTCCAGCCTGAGCATGGGTTCACAATGGCAGCTTCCGCCTGGCTCAGTCCTCCACCTCCACCTCCAGTCCGAGCACCTGCTTAGATAGAGCCTTCCCCAGTCCCCAGTCCCGTCCCCAGTCCCTACCTCTTGCCGGGTTTCTCAGCAAAAGGAGCTTCAGCCAAGCCAGGTCCGGCCTTCAGCCCGGCCCATTGGCCCCGCAGGGCCCCGCCTAGGCCACGCCCCCATCTCGGCTCAGCTAGGTCCCACCTCCAGAGAGCTATTGGGTTCATTCCCCAGCGTCCCGCCCCCAGGCCCGCTCCGGGATCCGTGTTCCAGGCCCACCTCCAGGATAACCATGGGCGGCCGCGCATAGTTCCAGAAGCTGAAGCGATTCCAGAAGTAGGCGCTGTTTGCGTCCTCGTAGTCACGGGATGTCTTCTCTAAGTCGATGGAGGCTCCTGGAACAGGGGAGAAGCAACCACTCAGACTCCCAGGCCGGACCAACAGCTGGGTCAGGGTCTGTCGGAGGTCGGACTCCTAGGGTCGGTCATCTGTAAAGGTCTATGTCAATGTCTGCGTCTTTCCGTGTCTCTGTGTCTCAGTTTCTCAGTGTCCATGGGTCTTACCCACAGAGCTCAGCGCATAGTCGGGTTTTCGAACAAAGTCCTCATTCAACCTCTGGAATACGAGCTTGGCCACTCTCTGAAAAGAGGGAGGACGGGGCTTGCGGGCTGGTTTTATAGTTGTCTGGTATGGACTTTGTGGCCCCGAGAGAAATCACGAAGTTGGGGCTCTGGGGCAGGGCTTTAAGGTTCAGGACCCAGCGAACGGGGCTGTGCAGCAGGCGGAGCTCTTGGACACCCCTGGGCCCTGGCTGTTAAGAGTAGGATGCGGCAGGGCTCACCTCGCTGTTGGCTGCGCGAACGCTGGACACCTCCTTGTGGAGTTGATCCAGCTCGGCCTGCAGCTGCTGCAGCTGCTGCCCCTGGGTGCGCACGCGCTCGTGGTACTCGCTGCAGGCAGGAGGTTGGCACAGTGTGGTTGGCTCCCTGTTCCCGGGACACTTCCCGTAAGCCCCTCCACAGGAGCACCTTTGAGTCCCCCAATTCCACACCCCAGGTGCCATCTTTCACCTTATAGTCAGCATCTCCGGTTCCTATTGGAGGGAGGGACAAAATACAGCGCTGCTCAGTTCCCACCCACCCCCTTGTCCCACTTCAGTCTGAGAGCAGCCAGACTCCAAGGGCCTTCCTTTTGAGGACTGCCATCCCCTCCCCTGACCTTCCAGGACCCCTCAGAGACCCTCAAGCACCTCTGGACACAATCTCAGAAATCTCCTATTTATATCCAGCCCTTCCAGCACTGTCCCCTCCTCCAAGCAGCCCAAGGGACACCCCACAATCTCCAGTTTCATAGCCCGCCACCCACCCACCCCAGGACACAGTTTCCCAGACTCACACTCTCCAAAGGAGGGACCAGGTACAGGAGACCCCACCAGAGTGCTGGAGAAAGAGGGGGGTGGTCTCAGGGGAAGGGAGGGGAAGAGGGTTTCTCTGGCATAAAGGACAATGAAGAAGAGGCTGAGGGGTTTGAGTCTGAGCGGGGACTACAGGGCTCTGAAGGAGACTGCGGAGAGCTGAAGGGGCAGAGGGCTATAGGAGAAAATGCGCCTGGTTTGGCTCCAAAGCATCCAGGGCTGGGGCCCAGGGAATTCACCTGTCAGAAAGAGGCTCAGCAGTGACACAGCCGTGAGCAGGAAGCGAATGGAACAGACTTCCCTGAAGAACCGGAGGGAGGCTGAGGCCCCAGGACCCTAGTGAACCCCACAGCCCCCACCCCAGGCTCTTAGATCCAGCAACTCCTACGAACACGGCTCAACCAGGTCTGAATTGGCTCAAACCTCAGCCGTGTGGGGCCCGCTCCCCACCTCCTCTCAAGAGCAGCCCCTGGGGCTCCCCCTTTCCTCCCTCTGACCTGTACACAGTGACCAGCACCTCTCCTAGCAGGGATAAAAACACGCTCAGCACCTGGAAAAGTGGGTCTGGGAAGAGGAGAGGGGGTTCAGAGACGACGGGACTACGGCTTAGAGACGGGTAGAGAGGAAGAGGGTCGGGGCAGGAGAACTAGATGGGAGCAGAGAGAGCGAGTTCAGGCTCAGAGAAGGTGGACCGGGCTCAGAGAAGGGGCTGCCGACTCAGGCATGGGCCGAGGACGAGAACGGAGAACCGGGGTCTCGGCGACAAGAACTGGAATTCAGGGAGGGAGGCTGGAGGGTGAGAGGGGATCCGGGCGAGCCTGGCACGTACTCAGGAAGCTCTTGAAAACCCGCGGGGACCGCATCTCCTGCCTCAGATCCAGGGTCGAGAGAAGGTTGAACCGCTCCTCAGAGACAACGGGAGAGCCAGCCGGTTCTGCGGGAGCCCAGGGGCTCCATTGGGCCTTGCGCACTGCGGGCTCATTCTTTCCCCGAGACCCAGACGCAAGCTGCCCAGCCCAGAAGCGGGCAGTCGCTCAGGCTTGGGTCCCACCGCGTCCCCACCCAGGCCCCGCCCCTCGGGCCCGCCCTCACATGCTGGTCCCGCCCCCAGTGGTAGGTCTGGGTTCGGCCCCGTCCTCGGTGGTCACTCTGGCTAACAGAGGCCACGCCTCCTCGGTCCCCAGTCACAGGCTTTCTCCTCTCGTCCCGGGGACGTCCATCCCGTGCCCAGCCCGGCCCGGTGTGCCCCCCGTCCCCTCCCCCGGCTTACCCGGGTTCGACCCCGCCCGCACCCGAGGCCCCGCCCCTCACGGTTGCCGCGCCTTCGGCGGTCGGCGCGCTGTGGCTCCGCAGCGCCGGCTTCTGCCGAGAGCTTCCGGCCCGCGCGGTTCCTCCGGGCACTCCTGAGCTCAAGGCGGGCTCACCGCAGCTCGAGCCCTGGGCTCTCCTGCCCTCGGGCTCCCCGGGCCCCGGCCCAGCTGACCGATGGCCGCTGCTGTCCCCCGAGGTGGTGCTCACTGAGCTGTTGCTGTTGTCGCTATAGAAGTTGGGCGTGTGCTTGTGCGGGGGACGCGGCCGAGCCCGGGCGGGGGCTCCGCCGCATCCTGACTCTGCGCCGGCGCCTCGCGGACGCCAAAGTCGCCGCCGCCACGCCAAGCCCTCGGCCCTCCCTCCGCGGGTGCGCGCCGCCGGGACCCACGGAGCCTACCCACGGAGCCTGCGTGCAGCCGGCGGGCCCCGCAGCCAGACCCAGCCCTCTCCCGTGTTTCTGAGCCCGTCCGCTGACGTCATAGAGGAGACCGCGGAACGCCGTGACCCAGCGTCACAGAGCTCATCGTGACGTCGCTGGGAGCCAGGGCAGCCTTATTCTTTCCCGTGTTAAAGCCAGCAGTGACATCACGGCACTTCCCAGAGCACCCTATCCGACACTGCACTCGGCTTAAAAGAATTCCTATCTTCCTACATCCTCTGGCACCTTCCACAGGCTTAGCATGTAATAGGCTCCCAAATATTTATGAATGAATGAATGCTAAGCAGGGCAAGGGATCTCCCAGGGGACTTCTAAATAAACGTCTGGTCTCTTTTGCTTTGCAAACCCTTCAGGCCCCTCCTCTCATCCTAGTCACGAGGCCTTGAGAACTCTAACATCAGGGGATCTGTAGGTCTCTCTCTCAGACCTATATTCGCCAGGGGTCTGTGGGGTGAAAATTCAGTACCCGCCCACCAATCATCATACCCACGCGAATCGCAGGGAAGGGAATGGGGAAATCACAGATGGCCACAGCCAAGAGACCAGAGGTTCACAGACCCCTGTGCAGCAGCGTATAGAGATTCAGGTTCCCAGGTGCACCCTGAGATTCTGCTTCAGCATCTCTAGAGTGGATAAAATGCAGGAATGTGCATTTTTATTTTTTAAATATTTTTTATTGATCTCAGAGAGGAAGAGAGAGGTAGAAACATCAATGATGAGAGAGAATCATTGATCAACTGCCTCCTGCATGCCCCACACTGGGGATCAAGCCTGCAACCCGAGCATGTGCCCTGAGTGGGAATTGAACCGTGTGAACTCCTGGTATGTAGGTCTACGCTCAACCACTGAGCCATGCCGGCTGGGCAGGAATACGCATTTTTAATGACCACATGTGTGGTCCTGATTAAGGCCATTCTTTGCAAGCAATTCAGTGATTCCTGTGCACGTTGCACAGCTAGGCACACAGGTCCAGAGAGGGGAAAGGGCGTGCCTAAAACCACACAGTGGGTGATAGAGATTAGAATTTCAAAACCCAGTACTCTTTCCACTACATCCCATCTTCTTTGGAATATTAGAAAGTGGAAGTGGCAGTTCTTAGAGGGGTTGAGGCCGAGAGAGGGTCTAATCTTATCTGCTGCAGCTGTCCCATACATACCTTACACGAAGGCCAAACTGAACAAATCACAGATCCAGGAACACACCCTGCATTCCTCCGTACTGCCTGGATAGCCATCTCTGCTCAACTCCTGTCCTCAACGCCCATTTTAAAGGCTCCCTCCCCAGGGAAGCCCCTCTGGCCTCCCTCCTCCAAGCCACCCAGCCTGACTTGTTTCTGTTCTGATGGGGATTGCAGTCTTTCTAGGTCAGTGGTCGGCAAACTGCGGCCCCTTGAGTGTGGCTCTTCCACAAAATACCATGTGCGGGCATGCACGTACAGTGCGATTGAAACTTCGTGGCCACACTCAAGGGGCCAAAGAGCCGCATGTGGCTCGCGAGCCGCAGTTTGCCGACCACTGTAATTTAGGCTATGTTTGATGTTGGAGTCCACAAAGCTACTGGAAGACAGAGAACACGCCCAATTCATCTCTGGCTGCAAACCCTTTCCCTCAGGGTGTCATAGCACAAGTCCTGCCCATAGGAGGTGCCATGAAGTAGAATGATTAGGTGGATGGCCATGAAATACACTCAGAACATAGTTATTGTCACCCACTGGTTCAAGACTACAAGATACATTAATTCCTTCATACATTTAGTAAAAGTACTACACATCTGTTTAGGGATTATTGTCCTAAGCTAGGAGTTCTATGTCCAGAAAAATGCACATGTGCTCAATATTTTACAGAGAATTTTAAGAGTTTGCTGACTCCCTGGAGCTCATCTATAGTCCCACTAGTAAACCTCAAGAACCTCTGGCTTCTGGTTAAGAAGTGCTTTTGCACCTGTTATGTGCAAGCTAAGGACATATTCAATCACTTATTAATTCAATAAATGTGTTGAGTGCCTACAGTACTAATGCTGGGGGCTACAGGATTCATCTATTAACCCACCCATTTATTCAGCCAGTGTTTTAAAATATATATAAACTATATATATAAACTATATATATAAACTATATATATAAACTATATTGATTTTTAGAGAGAGAGGAAAAGGGAGAGAGAGAAACATCAATGAGGGAGAAGTACTGATTGGCTGCCTCCTGCACACCACTTACTGCGGATCGAGCCCACAACCCGGGCATATACCCTGACCAGGAATCAAATCAGTGACCTCTTGGTGCACGGGTCAATGCTCAATCACCAAGTCACACCGGCCAGGCTCAGTCAGTGTTTTGAGGGTCTACAATGTAACCAGAGAATGAGTTTGGCATTGAGGACAGAGAGGTGAACGAGGCACTAACTACATGAGGTCCCATGCCCTGAAGGCCACATAGGCTAGCTGGGCCAAACTAGGGTGCTATCTTCTCCCTTTGCCTCCATCTCCACTGGGTCCCAGCTCCCGCCACACAAGAATGCAGGATGGAGGCTGAAGGTGGTTCAAGGAGGGAGGACTGAGCTGACCAGAGGGACCTTACACCCATCTCTCAGTCCTCCCACTCCTTCCCCACCTATGACCCCCAAGCCTGCTGTCGGTGTGTTTGACTAAAGGGCAGGGATTGCTGAAACCTGCTGGGTGAGTCCAGTGACTCAGAGGCGATTCAGGTGTGTGGGAAGGTGGGCAGGAGGGTAGAGGTAGAGCCAGTGGCCCTGGGACGATGGCTCTGACTGTGTGTGTGCGGCGACTGACGGGGCTGCCAGGAACTCATGACCGACAAGTGAGGCTCAGCTTTCGGGGTGAGGCTTGCAGGGGTGTGCTAAGAATTTTTGGAACTGGAAAGCTCTATTCCCATGGCCCCCAGACCCATCCCTGGGTATCTCTATAGCCTGTTCCCTGTCTTCTTAGTCCATACCCAACTCTGTGCCTCAATCCCTCTCTATCTTCTACCTTTCTTTAAAAGTGAGTCCAGGGGGACTGGACTCTGGGCCAAGGAGTGTGTGTGTGTGTGTGTGTGTGTGATTTTTTTCATGGGGAGGGGGTGGTAAATGACTAAATTCAATTCTGAGCAGGTTTTACCCAGAAAACAAGGAGAATTCACTGTGGCCAAGAAGCAGATATCGGTGAGGTCAGTGAGGTTGAGTCCTGGATGGGGAAAAGCTGGTCTGTGTCCCATCTAAGTCCATCCTGGGGTTGGAGGGTTCATTCCTGGGTTTTGAGAGGTATGGTCTCAGGAGGTGGGGTCAGTCTCAAGCTTGAGAGGTCAGACCCAGCTTGAGACAAATCAGAATTAAGATGGGGGATTTTGATTGATCGTTTTCCCAGATCAGCCTAGTTTGGAGTCAACCCCATGTTGGGGCCGGGGCGTGGGTGGGAGGGGAGATTCCAGGTTTGAAAAATCAGTTATAGGTTGGCTTCAAGTTTGGAGGGTTGGCTCCTGTTTCAAGGTTGGGTACAGGCTCTGGACTGGGGGTAAGGGTCAGCCCAGCTTTGGGTGTCATAAGGTTCCTCCTATTCCCAGCTGTTCCGTTGGCCACACTATGGGGCTCCGCTGGCTGGGGAGTGTCTGTCTGTGCAGGTGGTCAACTGCAGCCGTGTGTTCAGCTCCAGGTGAGTAGGTCTCGGGAAGTCAAGGATGCAGGTGGGGCTGGGGGTGGCTTGGGGCCATTCTCCGGGTCACTCTTCTGCTCCATGCCACACCCACAGGTCTCTGGGGACCCTGGTGATTTCCTTACAGCAGCTACAGATCGCTGGGCATTTGGTGCTGCAGGAGGCCCTAGTGGATAAGAATCTGCAAGTGTCCCCGGTGAGTCCCACCAGTCCCTAGCCTGCCACCCCCAAGCCTCAGAGTCCCTCTAAATCAGCGGTTCTCAACCTGTGGGTCACGACCCCTTTGGCGGTCCAACGACCCTTTCACAGGGGTCGCCTAAGACCATCCTGCATATCAGATATTTACATTACGATTCATAAAAGTAGCAACATTACAGTTATGAAGTAGCAACTAAAATAATTTTATGGTTGGGTCACAACATGAGGAACTGTATTTCAAGGGCCAGAAGGTTGAGAACCACTGCATAGAAGATTACATTTCTCAGAGGGGGGAAACTAGACCCAGACAGAAGTGGTAACACCCCCTCCCCCCCAGACAGGGCTCCTTTCATTGCAGCCCCTGCTGAAGTCCCACGTGGGCTCTGAGGGTCAGGGATGTGACAATGGGGAAAGGTAAGAAGTACTGTGCTGCTTCCTGCCCCAGGCACAAGTCTTGCGGGAGACAAAGATAAAGTTGGCTAGATTTTCCTGGTGTGTCATGGGGGTCAGTAGAGCCTGGTAGAAATGGACCTGGGTTCAAATATCAGATCTACCATTTCCCAGCTGAGAACTTGAACAAATGATTTAATTTTCCTAGGCTGTTTCCTCATTTACATTCTGTGGAATCATACAAAATGAGCTTTTCATTCAGTCTGTCATCATTTGTTGAACTGTCATCATAAGCCAAGTGCTGAGCTGACCAATGAGGACTGAGTGGTGAACAAAGCCAGATAATTTGCTCTCTTAGAGCTCCGTAACTAAAAGAGAGGCAAATATTAAACAAATATCCACACAAATAAGTGTAAAATTGTCACTGGCCAGTCTTATAAAAGAGCTGGTAGAGGGCTTGGAGAGTGTATAACAGAGGGATGTGGTCTATTTGGGGGTCAGAATAGGTTCCCTGAGGAAGTAGTGCTTGAGCTTGGGAATGAAGGATGATAGGAGTTAACTCAGAGGAGAGATTGTTCCAGGCAGAAGAACTGGCATGGGCAAAAGCCGAGTGCCCTGACAATACATAACTGGAGGGCAGGGCAGGAGCAGATCCCTAAGAGATGGGGCTGAAAAGGTTTGCATAGGCCAGACCATGCT